TTCGAGCTTCCTCTTCAATTCGGAGGCGAGTAATCAAACTTTCGATTGAAAACTCTTTGGTTTTATGGCGAAGCATGTTTTTGAAATCTTTCCAACCAAGGGGCAGTTTGTCAATAATAACAGCAATTTGAAATTGTTCATTCAGGGGCATACCTTCAGTTATGATTTCATGAGCAATTTAGTTTTCCATTATTATGTTGATTACCATAGGCGGTTTCACCTTACGGCCACCTTAGGCAACTGCCAAAGCTCCAATTTTTTTTTATAAAAAAAAAATAAAAAAAGGGCAAAAATAATTTTTTTTGTTATATATTATGTGAATTTTCGGTCTTTAAATTTTTTGTCCGGGTTTAATTTTCGATCTTTAAATTTTTTTTCCAGGCTTAATTTTCGGTCTTTACATTTTTTCCCAGGCTTTATAATCTTACTGTCTCCGCCATTGGTTGTGAATGATGTTAGCTTCTTACCATAATTTGAACTATCTTATAATTGGCGTGAGCATGTATTGATGAGATTATCATCATGACAGGTTTAAAACACTGCCTAGAATATTTTAGACAATAATTACACAAGTAATTATGATCATAGCATGTTTGCTTTATGCTCATGCTCTAGATGGAACTCTTTATGTTACAACAACTTTACTTGGAATGTGTTATGGAGTTCAGTATTCTATAATGGTTGCAAATGTTTGAGTTATTTGGTTTGAAGCACTTTGGTGTAATTAGCATCTTCATGATGCTAGGAAATCCAATTGGTGCACTTCTTTTTTCTGTTTTTCTTGCTGGAAAGTTGTATGATACAAAAGCTGCAAAACAAGGAAATTTCACTTGTTATGCTGCAAATTGCTTCAAAATGCTTTAGTATAATTTTGACAGTTAAAATAAGACCAAAATATTAAATGATGTACGCAAACGGTTCTTTTTGTCTGTCGCGTACTTCAAATCAATGAGATTGGACAAAATTGTCTGCCTTGTACAAAAAAAATTTGAAATTCTTAGTTAGTGAGGGGCCAAAATGAAAAGTGAATTTGTTGCATTTAAAATTTTGCCCATGCTTTCTAAATTTTCTGGCTCCGCCACTGTTGATTACCATGCTTTTGGATATGGTTGCAAAGTTATGAAGGTTTTGTGCAGCCATGAGATTTATAAGTAAGCACAATAACAAAACACCATTTTGTCTGAATAATGAATGTAAATTGAATTTTCAAAACTAGCATTACATTTAATTTTTGTATGTATTAATGGAGATGGTTTATGACTCCAGATCTTCCAATAAGAATGGTTACAAATCTTCACCCAAATTGATGGAGAATGGTTTCCAATTGATGGAGTATATCATATTTTCATATTTATCTAATCTCATTTAGTGTGACTAACAATTTAATGAATGAACTCTATCAGGTGAGGAAAAGATTATGAGATGGTTGTGAAAGTTGTTGGAGAAGATTATTAAGAGCATTGATACATAGTGTAGGAACAAGCACCTTTGTATAGAATAGTTTTTTGTATAATTTAGAATGAAACATGTGCACTCCTTATATAGTGAAGTAAGCTAGTTAATATTTCTCACATAAACAATGTGGAATTAAATGATTTTTTCAACCAAAAAGATATTCTAATAATATGAGACTTAAAAAAATTTTAAATTCAACATATTAGAATATGGTCATATTCCAACAAGATCTATTTTCTTTCTAGTGTGTTTCTGGGAAAATCTATAATTGCATTTTGGACAACAGGTTTGCTCAAGAATTCTAAATGCAAAGAGGGGAGATAAAAGTTATGGAAAGTTGTTTGTAGCAAAAGATAACAACGAATCTTCTTTGTCATGTAAAGAGGATTATAGCATGTATGTTTGTTTGTAATCTATTGAGTTGTAAGCTGCTGTTATTTCGGTGATATGTTTGTTCACTTTGTGTCATGCCACTATTAAATCTTGGTTAAGTTTGTAATAGAGAGGTTCAAATCTCATGAATAATAACAGTTTGGTATATTTCTCATACTGATGTAACAGTAATCTAATGTTCAATTTTCCAATTTCTAATTTCACTATTTGCATTTGCTTTATAAGGCAGTAATCTAATACTCACTTAATCAATTGCCGAATTAAGTTGCTTGCATCACTAATAGTGCCTATTGTGTTTTGAATGTTACTTCATTATAGTTATAAATTTATCTAAAAGGCTATTAAAAACTAGTTTGCCGACATAGTATTAAATTTGTCATAGAAAACATATCGATTTATAAAACTATTATAAGTGTGGGAAACATGTTTTGCACTTAGAAAAAGGCTGTGAATTGATTAAAGTCTCTTCATGTTATCCTGGATTTGCTTTAATGGGCCATATGCTTTTCAATTTTCTTTCCATTCTTTATCTTTAAATATAGAATTCTTCAATAGCTTTGATCTCTAATTCATTCCTTCAACTTCAGTCTTCATCTAAAATAATGACACCCTATCTTGTATCATAAGTATATTTGTACAATAATATGCTTGAGGCCATGTCATTGAGAAGATTATATTTTCTAACTACAATCATCTAACTTATAATAGTTGTAAATACAATCACTTCATTTTTTCAGTTCATTTTTTAATAATACACGTAAAAAAATATATGGTTTATTATATATTGAAAAATTATATTTATTATCTAATTATAAATAAAAATGTCATTTTTTGAAAAAATATTAGATTTTATTGGTTAAACAAATTTGTTTTTCTTTTTTTTCTCTTTATTTTTATTACATTTTGTAAACAAATGCGAGTAGTACATCATGCACAGATATCTACGGGTTTAAACGAAAATAATATCAGTACAAGTGAAGCCAATAGTTTAAGGAAATTATATGAATGGGAAAATAAAACCACTAATCAAAATATTGTTGATCCAAATATTTAACAATTTTATCTTTTATTTTTTATTTTTATTATAATTTGAAAACAAATGTACATAATACATCAGTAACCGTGCGAATACGCGAATATTAATATGGTACACACATTATTATTAATTTAAGATACAATATTTTTTAAGATAAGATATAGAAAATTGAAATATATATTATTGATGTAACACTATATTGGTAAAACAATTTTGTTTTCATTTTAAAAATATATATTTTTTTAAAATAATAAACTATTTTGGTAAAACAATTCCGTTTTTCTTATTTACATTCTTATTACATTTTGAAAACAAAAAATATGTTTTTCTTTTAAAAATAATAAATTATTTTAATAAATCAATTTTGGTTTTTTATTTATATTTTTTAAAAATAAAAACGTGTGTAGCACATCACATCAGTATCATGTAAACGCACAGATATCCCACTAGTTTTGTGGTTGTTGATTTTTATCTTATATCTTCGGGTTGGAATGAGTTATGATGTCACTTGCTTCAAATTCAATTTCTACTTTATTTCAAAATTTTCTAACTCTCTCTCTCTCTTCCTTTTCTCTTTCTTTTCTGATGTTATCTCTCTTTTCTTTGTCACCTCAATATCTCTCTCTATGCAACAACTTCCTTTTTTCTCTTCTTCTTCCCTCTTCCTCATCTTCTTCCTTTCAGACAGTTCGGAGGTAACGATGGTTTAAGAAGTTGGTTTTCGAGTGGTGATGAGAAGTTGATGGTCGGATTATTTTAAGGGAGATGATTTTTCTTCAGAATGTTTGGTGATTGTGGTGTTATGCGTATCTGGATGATCAATCAAGGATCTGAAATTTGTTATTGCTCAACTGGGTAATAATAAGTTTCTTACAAGCTTTCAATTTTGATTACATTTTACCTATTTTCATATTTATGAAACCGTAATATTTTCATTTTTACTGTTGGCTTAGATCTGCAAAAACTGAAATTTTCCGTAGTTATCAGGTTTATGATAGGCCTGTTTTTGATTTAATTAAGACCATGATGATCAAAAGCTGGAATTTTCAGGTTTTCTAATGACCCTCTATGTTGTCTAACTCCATAGATACTAGAGGTAATCGTGTGACATGAAGGGTTGGAATACACACAAACATAATCTTGCGGGAACTCAGTGAAAACTTTGAATTGTGTCATGCTTCCTTTTCAAAATAAAGACCATCAAATTTAATGCAGTTGTGGTCAGAAAGATGTTCAACTAATCAACAAGTGAGTTTCAAGAATTTTGCAGCCAAATTCGCTTCCTTTGAAATCAATCATAAGTTTTCTGTTTATGTCTTTCATTAATTAGGTATAGAATTTAGATTGAGGTGGAGTATTATGGTCATGTGGAGGAACATCATTGGTCAGAGTCTATTAATCTAAATACATTTATATTCGACACCTTTGTGTTTTGGCAGGTGTTTGTTTACTTAAAGCCCATTTAATTATTGAAAACATTTTTCAACTCGTCATTATTTAACAGCTTTTTCAATTTCATATATAAAATAAAGAGGTATTTAACAACTTTGCTATTATTCGAGATTGTGATAGGACTTTGGACAGCAACATTTATTGCACATTCAATATATTCCTCAGGTAAAAAATTAAACATTTCATTTGGTAGAAATAATGATGTGATTCTCTAAATGCTTTATTAAGTTGTTAATTTAAATATGGTATAAATGGTTAACTAAGTCAAGTTATTATGTTTGAAAGAAACTAATGGATGATTGTTAATTTCAGAGCCATGCAATGGTATAAGTGGGTTTAAAAAAATATATTGGTCTTTGTTTTAGGTCTTTACTGTACTACAATGGCATTAGAAACTACTCTCTAACTCCACTCATAAAGCAGGGTCCTCAACAAACAAGAACAAAGCAGAAGGGATGATAGACAAGAAAAAGAATGCTGCTGCCTATTTCTTGAAGAGAATAAAGCGAAATGCATCAGCGGGAGTGATGAGAAGTGGAAGTGGCGGTGGAGGAGGAAGTAGTGGCAGCAGTAAGGGTGGTGGAGGTGGTGCTAACATGAAGGATCAAAAATAAATAGTGAGTAGTGGAAAGAGGGAGAAAGGTTAAAGAAAGATCTTCAAGGTATGACGATGGTGGAGGGTCAGGGTCAGGGGATTAGCGAAATAAGAATCTTGACCACAACTCAGTCAAGTAGGAGTGTTGGAAGACCTCTAAAAAAAGCAGAAACCAGCGTAGTTAAGCGCGGAAGGGAAAGTAGTGCAAGTAGAGGGAAAAATAAGCGACAGAAAAAACGTTCAAACAAATTATTTTCAGTTTTTTAGGTAGGTGTTAAAGGTGAAAGAAACATAAGAAATGGGGTTTGAATTAGTTTTCATCAAAAATAAATTTAAATTTTTTTCGTTGATGAAAGATCAGGTTAAATTAAAACATAAAAATAAATAAACAGGATTATTTTTATTTTGGTTCACTGTTAACTAAGCTATTTCAGTCCATTCTTCAAGGTGATTTGTCTTCAACAAGAATTTAATCCACTATAACCAAAATGATTATAGACAACTCACAATAAGTCAGATCAACCTTATCGACACCCCCAATAAATCAGTCGATCCTTATTGTAAATCCACTCAAGCCGCAACAAGAGTCTTCTTGAGATCAGACCTTCACTTGGTCACTCAAGAAATCAATCAACAATCGTTGAATACTTTATGTGTATTACAGTTTGCTTCTTTTAAGCAGATTACACAAATATTTCAGTGCAAAGAAAAATACCTAAGTGTTTTACAATAAGATACGAGCAACAACTCCTTACTTATTTACAAAACTATACACAAAAGATTTCTCTAAAGAGTTGCACAATGCTTTGGTGTAGTTTTGTTTGAGCTTGATTTAATCTAATATATTTTTCGTTGTAATGTTGATTCTTACTTTTCTTCAGCTTCCAAGTCTTCCGTTTATAGCTTGTAAAAGAAATCCGTTGAAGGGGTAGAAAGGTAATCAGAAATCCTACTGTTTGTTTTCAATGATCATAATGAGAGTGGTTGACAATACAGTATGAAAGAACTTTCCTTACGCCACCCTAGAGGGTAGAGGTCACAGAGCACTTTCTGTACCTTTTATGCACTATCACACGTTAACTATTTTGAATTTCTTCTAAACTTCAGAGGCTTCGAATAATTTGAATGTTTGAAGCTTGTTGTAGAATAATCACTCTTAAGTCTTAGAACCTAAGTCATGGAGTCTTCAAAACTTGTCCCATTAGAACCTTGTCTTCAGAGTCTTCAGCACTTGGTCGTAAGAATTTGTTTTTCTTCAGATCATCAAAACTTGTTCAGCAGAACTTTGTCTTCATAATCTTCAGAACTTGGAACACACAGAAGCAAAGCTTTAGAAGGCCTCCAAAGCTTAACCATAAAGTCACGATTAGAACCTCTTGTACTAACATTCTTAAGAACCATTGCATAAGACAAATGAATCTTCACTTCAACTGTAACATGTAACCAAATTTTTCTTCTAGTAGTGTTTATGTTCAGAACCTGATGACGTCACATGCCTTGATACCAGAGTTAGAATATTACAACAACAGCTACACACTAGAACAAAATCATATCTGATAGAAGTGTCAAAGAGTGAAAGGAGTTTACTGCAAATTGATGGATGAATTTGTTCTATGGTAATCCCGGAGTTTGAATAGTTGATGACTTCAGCAATATCATAGAGGGTTATGGTAATGGAAAGACCAAAAATGTTGAAGTTAATGCAACTATCGTCACTGTTTACTGAGGCATATAGCCATTTTTAAACATATTTGGATATATAGGACCACGAAGAAATTCATAAAATCTTTCCCAATTTTGAACATGCTAGCAAGTAGTAAGGAATTTAGCTCTTTTCTCATCTAGATTTTTAAGCTGAAACCACTTACATTGTTTCTCATTGATGATTTCTACAAGATTGCTATCACCAAGGAAGATTTGTAGAGTCGTGATGAATAAAGGTGGAAGATGTGTTTAGACATTAGGAGATGATAATGAAATGGGTGAGACGTATATAAATAGATGAAAGAGGAAAAAGATACTGACCGTACGAATGACATAGGCCAAGAGGCGTATCACGCATAAGATATGTCAAGGACACAATGACAAGACATGATAGAAATAATTACTGACAAAGGGTAAAGCACGTAGATTTTTTATATATTCTCAAGAATATTATGTCTCTCAAGATGTCACCACAAGTACAAGGAGATTCAGAAACAACAACAATTTGTTATCCGAACAAGAATCTTTTTACCTTTTTAGTAACTTGTTTAATAAAGTATACTCTTCAGTATTCATAGAGATAATTCATTCTAAGAATAGATGATTCATGAGTACATCTGATTCATGAAGACTTCACTTAATCAAAAGTCACATGTTTCAGAAGCCTACACCTTAAACCTCAGAAGCCCATATTACATTTAGTGCTTCAAAAAATTGAAATGACACCTTTTTCATTCTGGACATGGAACCATGTTTAATTGTATTAGAATGAAAATAAGCCTATCTTCAACAAGGTGTTTTGTAAAGATGTCAGCCCACTGATGGTCAGTATCAACAAATTTTAAAGAAAGATCATCCTTCTGGATATAGTCTCTAATGAAATGATGTTTGATTTCAATGTGTTTAGCCTTAGAATGTAAAATAGGATTCTTAGATAAACAATGGCAGAAGTATTATCACAAAAAATAAGAATATTAATTTCATATAATTGATAATCATCTAGCTGAATTTTAATCCAGAGAATTTGAGTGTTGCAACTTGCTGCAGAGATATATTCAGCATATGCAGTTGAGAGTGCAATTGTTGATTGCCTCTTGCTGGACCATGATATTAGGTTTTCTCCCAGAAATTGACAACTTCCATAGGTACTCTTCCTTTTAAGTCTATCACCAGCATAATCAGCGTCACAATAACATACTAACTTGCATTCTCTTGATTTTCTATAACATAGACCACGGTTAGTATTATTTTTCAAATATCTAAACATCCTTTTGACAACAATCAAGTGAGATTCTCTAGGATCTGATTGGAATCTAGTACATAAGCATACACTAAATAAAATATCAGGCCTAGAAGTAGTCAAATATAGTAAAGAACCTATTATACCTCTGTAAAACTTCTGATCAACCTTACCACTTACCTCATCCTTATCTATGACATAAGTAGGAAGCGTAAGAGTTTTTGCTATCTTGCATTTAGTTGAATTGAACTTCTTCAGAAGTTCTTTGGTGTATTTGCTTTGGTGAATGGAGGTTTGATCCATTCCTTGTTTTATTTGAATTCCTAGAAAGAACTTGAGTTTTCCCATTAAGCTCTTTTCAAACTTAACTTGCATGGACTTGGAAAAATTCTCGCACAAAGTGGCATTAGTAGAACCAAATATAATATCATCAAAATATATTTGAACTACCAAGATATCATTTTTGAAAGTTTTACAGAACCAAGTGTTGTACCCCAAAATTTTCCCTCTCATATTATCAAGATTTCCCTCACAAGACTTCTTGGACTCCAGACAGGATTAGGGTTTGCTCAGCTCAAGACCCCACCTTGCACTGATAGCCTGAAATTAGGGTTTGAGTTTGCACAAGGATTTTTGGACCATCAATGCTTAATGTAACTTTCATACACCATCTTGGATCCCTAAGATTGCTCATACCAAGTTTCAAGCCTTGAATCACATTTTTGCCCAGTCAATTGGACAATTGACCTAAAAATCAGTTGTATTGAAGAAAAAGTCAACCATGGCCAATTTACAGTCAAAATTCATAATTTTTGATCCACAACAACATTATAGGCTCCTATGTACCATTTGATCAAGTTTGGACCACAACTCCTCAAGAAATTTGATCAAATCATCAAAAGGGCAAAATGGTCAAAATTAGGGTTTTGATTAGGAAAGGGCAATTTCTGATTTTTAACCTAGCCAATGACCAATGGGGTTCAAGCATGACTTCAAGGACTCAATGGCATCATCTTGACCTAATCACATAGTTCAAAAGATCTCAAATTCATAGGATTGACAGATGAATTTTGCAGTCAACTAATCAAAAATCAACTGTACACTGAAAAGTCAAACTTTGACTTTTTGGTCAAAATCAAGTGCCAAGGGTCATAATTCATCAATATATGTCAAAATATGAAACTTGTTGATCAAGAAAATCAATTTTGCAAATTAGGGTTTCAATTTGAAATTTTTTCATAACTTAGAAATTTTCTAAGTTATGAAAATTTCTTATTTTACCCCAACTTTCCACAACTTTTTCACCATGATGAAATTGGATTCAAAGAAAACTTCCAACATGAAAGTTGTAGTACTCCATGAAATATACAAGTTTTATTCACAAAGTTTTCCCAAAATATGCTTGGATATCAAGTTATGATTTTGTGAATAGGGGTCCATAAACTTTTTAACTTAGTGAAATTTTGCCCTAGTTTAGGCAGATTTTTGACCTAACTTCATGGAAATTTTTCACCTAGTTCCAAGAGGTATATCAAAATTAATTTCAAAGATGGATTGTATAGAATGTTACAAGCTTTCCAAAATGTCCAAGAACTCTCCAAGATAATTTATGGTTAGGGAGAATCGAAGAAATGAATATGGCAATTTATCACTTCTGTTCAAGGCATTTTCACAATGTTACAAGTTGCAAATCAGTTTCAAACATGCTTGTACTTGGTATTACAGGTCCTAATCCTTTTTACACTCCATAATTGAATGCTAACACATTGGATATTGGCTTTATTCTAACCTATGGAGCTTTGCACAAAGAACTATTCCAAAAATGGCATAAAGTTCACAATACCATTTTCATAAAGCTTGCTTTTTGCAACTTTGCAAATCTTGAGCCATGGACCTGATATATTGTTGCAAACAAGATCCATAAGAATCAGAAAAAGTTTACCAACTCTATGCAGTCCATAAGCTAGCAAGTACAAGCTTTTGTATTGTCACTTCCAACTTTTCTTCAAAAGCAAGAAACTTGCAAAAGTCAATACAAATCATCAATCTGATAAAGGCAAGCCTTGACTTCATTTCAAACAACTTCAGAACATTGTAACAAGCCTAAGCACGAATTGCTAACATCTCAAACACTCCAAAACCCAAAAAACCACATTTCTGCCCAAAACAGGGCAGCTTCTGCAAATCTCAAGTCAAATCAATATTGGCTCGTGCGTTTCTTGATTCAACCCTTGAAACACCTTCCATACATCACACCTAAACTGTCCAGGCCCTTGTCTTGCAACTGTGTGCCCTGTTTCAAGTTTCACCATTTTCATTTTGA